TGTAATAATAATAGTGGTAGTGGTAATATTAGGAGTAGTAATAGTAGTAGTAGTAATAGTAGTAGTAGTAGTAGTAGTAGTAGTAGTAGTAGTAGTAGTAGTAGTAGTAGTAGTAGTAGTAGTAATAATACTAGTAGTAGTCTTCGCCGTAGTAGCAGTAGTAATCGTGTTAGTCGTACCCGCAGGAGTCGTAGAAGTAGTAGTAGTGGTAGTGGTAGTGGTAGTGGTAGTGGTAGTGGTAGTAGTAGTTGTAGTCGTAGTAGTAGTAGTAGTAGTAGTAGTAGTAGTAGTAGTAGTAGTAGTAGGAGGAGCAGTAAGTAGCTGCAACATGGTTTTTGTATCAGTTTGATGGATCGCTGGTATCGTTAGTTCCAGTTGCAGTCGTACGGCTATTAATGCGAATGGTAGTCGCGTGGTAGCTAAAATGGTGTTTGGTGGCATGTGCCTTTGTTGCATTGATGTGCATTCGTTGTGTGTGTGTGTGCTGCTTCTGGCTGCTTGCTCTTGCTTGTTTGATCTTGCTCTTGCGTGTCTGCCGTATGGTTTCGCTTCAGGGCTGGCGGGACCCCCCTTAGGAGGAGGAATGGGCGGATACTGTCCTTTGCGCGGCTAGGAATCCAACATAATCGAACAAGAGCCCGTTTCTTTATTGCTTGGGGCATGACGGGCGTCATGGCCCCCGCTCCCCCCACCCCTATGACGACGTAACGCTCCCCCCCCCAGTGCGCTCCGGGCACTGCCGCCGTGCGCATTGGGATCCGCGTAGGTGTCCGCGTAGGAATCCGCATAGGTGTCTGGTCCGCAGGCGTCGTCGTCGTCGTCGTCGTCGTCGTCGTCGTCGTCGTCGTCGTCCGTCGTCGTCGCTCGTGGTTCGTCGCTCGTCGCTCATCGTCGTCGTGCGCGCGGACGCGGCTGGAGCCTGTTTCTTAGTCCAGGCCGATGACGGCAATCATCTGGGGGGGGAGGGGGTCGATCACGTCACGTTTCGCGCCGGCGGCGTTTGGGAACGCTTAGGAATGACGGAGGACGGGTTAGGTGGCGATATGCACCACAACGCCTGTGTATATCACAGTGCCCGCGTGCACCGCAGCGCCTGTGTACACCACACCGCCGATGTACACCACAGCAGCCGCGTGCAACACGGCGTCAGTTTGTGCCACCGTGCCTGCGGGCACAGCAGCTCCTGCGTACACCACAGCGCCTCCGTACCCCACATCAGCCGTGCGCAACACAGCACCAGTGTACACCACAATGCCTGCGTGCGTTGCAGTGCCTGTGTACGCCACGGCGCCTGTGTGCACCACATCAGCCGTGTGCATTACAGCACCATTGTCTGGTCCGCGCCAGATCCTGGGAACGAGGAACGCAGCTCCATAAATACCGGAAATTCCAGAAATTCATGACCAATAATAGTTTGAACCATGTAGGTCTGGATGTATGTAACTTGATGAACACACGAAATTGTGTGTATCTTAATTGCGATTTCTGACTTTCATGTTTCAATATCATATTTTTGACATATCCAGCGGTTAATTTCATAGAATCCATGCAAGTCGTCAGACCCGTCATCCTCGTCGATGCATCCCTATTCCATTTCCTCTCTGGTCGACCTTCCTCTTCGTCTCTTTCTTCTGCGTCCTTCCTTCTCTACCTGTCCTCCTCGTCCTTTGCGATGTTCCCTTGTCGCCCCTGCAGCCGTTCTCAATGTAGCACGCCGCTGCGCGGCGGCCGCCTGCCCTTCCACCCTCCCCCTCCAGCTTTTCTACCTTATCCCCTCTGTTCCCTCCGCTTTCACCCTTTTTTCTTTTCGTTTCTCCCCTCCTCCCCCTTGGTCCGCTCCTCCCCCTTCGTTTCTCTTCCTCCATCCCTTTCCGCTCGCGCCGGCGGGTGCGATGGAGGAGGGGGCGAAGGAGGCCGAGGAGGAGGTCGCGCCGGCGGGTGCGAAGGAGGAGGGGGCGGAGAAGGCCGAGGCCGAGGCGGCCAGCCTCGACGTCCTCAGCGACGTCAGCGTCGACGAGGCCTCCTCCTCCTCCCTCCTCCTTCCTCCTTCCTTCCTTTTCCCTCCTCCTCCCTCCTCCTCCCTCCTCCTCCCTCCTCCTTTTCCCTCTTCCTCCCTCCTCCTCCCTCCTCCTCCCTCCTCCTCCTCCCTCCTCCCTCCTCTTCCCTCCTCCTCCCTCCTCCTTATTCAATGAATGAGGAGGAGTGCAATGATGAGGAGGGGAGGGGGAGGAGAAGGCGGAGGAGGAGGAGGAGGAGGATGAGGAGGCGGAGGGAGGATGAGGGAGGAGGAGGGAGGAGGGAGGATTGAGAAGGAAAGGGGAGGAGGGAGGAAGAGGGAGGAGGGAGGAGGGAGGAGGGAGGAGGGAGGGAGGAAGGAGGAGGGAGGAAGGAGGAGGGAGGAGGGAGGAAGGAGGAGGGAGGGAGGGAGGGAGAGGAGGAGGAGGAGGAGGAGAAGGTGGAGGAGGAGGAGGAAGAGGAGAGGAGAGGAGGAGGAGGAGGAAGAGGAGTAGGAGGAGGACGAATGGGGGGGGAGGAAGGGGGGGGGAGCGAGGTGGTTGGGCCCGGATCCCCCCTCTCAAGGGCGGCGGCCTCGACGACCTGAGCGACGTCGAGGCGCCGCCAGTGCCGACGCCAGCGCCGCGCGCCGACGCCAGCGAGAAGCTGGAGGCAGCCTTGCAGGACACGAGGGGAGGAGGAGGACGAAAGGACGAGGAGGATGGGGAGGCCGATGGGGGGAGGAGGAGGGTGATGAGCGGGGTGGGTGGCAGGAGGAGTGGAGGCGAAGGAGGAGGAGGAGGAGGAGGAGGAGGAGGAACGGTGGCGAGGAGGGAAGGCGCAGGCGTGGGGAGGGGACAAGCGGGAGTGACGGGGAGGGGCTGAGGATGACAAGCATGATGGCGTTGGCGATGCTGGTCGTGGGGATTGTGATGGCGATGGCGATGCTAATGGCATGATGCTGCCGATGATGACGATGACGGTATTGTTGATGGCGACGGCGATGGTTACGATGAGAATGTGGGCGAGGAGGAGGAGGAGTGAATCTGTGAGATGAGGGCGTGCAGGGACGAGGGCGACGGAGAAGGGGGAGCTAGGGGGTGGGCGGCGACGCGGCCGAGGAGGAGCGGCTGCTGTGCGAGTTCAGGAAGAGGCGCATCCAAGAGCAGCTCTCGGTGGCGGGCGAGATCCATTATCGGAGCTTCGCTAATCCACCGCCGCTGCAGAATGATGGAGGACGGAGTGGGGGGAGGAAGAGGAGGAAGATAAGATGGGGAGGAGGAGGGGGAGTGTAAGGGTACAAGGGAGAGTAGGGGGAGGATGGGGGAAGGGGGGCAGCCACGGGGGAGAGGAGAGGGATGGCGAGGAGGAGGAGGGCCAAAGGGGGAGTGAGGAAGGAGGGGGGAGCAGGGGCGAGAGGGAAGAGGTCGTCGCCGCCGCCGCCGTCGTCATCGTCGTCGTCTTCATCGTCGTTGTCGTCGGCGTCGTCGTCGTCGTGATCGTCCTCGCCATCCCTATGGTCGTCGTCGCCCATCTTCTTCTCCTCCTACCCATTCCCTGCCTAGCCTCTCCCCCCCGCCTTCTTCCACCCATTCCTGATCTCCCTCCTCCTCCCTCCTCCTTATCCAAGACGCCTGCGGCGAACCCCCCCTGCCTTTTGGAAACGCCGAGACGCGCCCGGGCCTCGTGGTGGGCGGGGCTTGCGGAAGACCCGGCGGAGAGGAAGCGCTTCCGCGACAGTCTCTACAACTCCCCGCGTTCCGAGGACGTGAGGTTGAGGACTGCCGAGGACCGCGCGAGGGAGGCCTTCCGCGCGCAGGAGTTGTGGAACTCTAGGCAGACGCAGGGGGGCACGATGATGGATCTGAACGCTCGTCGTGGTTCGGCGCGCGTTGGGGCCACTCGCAAGCCCATTCAGACGTGGACCATTGCAGGGATGCAGCGCCTGGCGTTCAACTCCCCGAGTGCTGCATTCGGAGGGCAGGTTCCAGCGCCGCCGACCCCCCGCGTCAAGGAGGACGAGGAGGAGGAGGAGGGGGAGGAGGAGGAGAGGGAGGACGGGGGAGGGAATGGGGAGGAGGGGGGAGGAGGAGGAGGAGGAGGAAGAGGAGGAGGAGGAGGAGGAGGAGGAGGAGGAGGATCGAGGATCGAGGATCGAGGATCGAGTATCGAGGATCGAGGGTCGAGGATCGAGGATCGAGGATCGGGTTGGATGCTATGGGCCATAGAAGTTTGAGTCGGGTCAGGCTTCTCATGCACCAGGTTTGCCCGGCGCCCGGGCGCGCTGACGCTCTCTCTTGGCGTCGCATAGTCAGCTGGATGCGGCCGCCTTGGTAGCGCTGGCCGCGGCGCACCACAGGCGGGGTTGTCTCTCGATGTTTCTGTCGCGTTTTCCAGCCATGCAGCGTTCTTCTTGTCCCTGGGTGATTGTGTCAAGAACGCACGACGCTACCCCGATGAAGATTCGGTTCGGAAACCTCCAGCCCCAGCTGGCGTCGTCGTGCCGCTACTGGGGCAAGATCAGACAGGCCGACGGCACAATGGCCAACAAGTTTCTCACCGCCAGCGAGCACACCCATGCTGTCTCCAAAGTGCTGCCCACGCAGGGGACTGCCGAGGTCATGGCCCAAGCAGGCAGCGGGGGAAATCGAAGCGGGGCATGGGGGAGAGGTCCGACGGGGGGATGGGAGGAGGAGAAGGAGAAGGAGGAGGATGAGAAGGAGGAGGAGCTCGGGGGAGGGAACGGCGAGGGGTAGGAGGAGGAGGGGGAAGGGGAGGAGGAGGAGGAGGGGGAGGAGGAGGAGGAGGAGGGGAAGGGAAGGGGAGGAGTTGCATGAGGCGGAGGTTTAGGAGGCGACGGCTCAGGAGGATGGAGGAGGAGAAGGGGCAGGAGGAGGGGGAGGAGGAGGAGGCGAAGGGGAGGAAGGAGTTGCAGGAGGCGGAGGCTTAGGAGGGGAAGAGCGGGTGCCGTGCACTCAGCCGCAGGCAGCGTGGCGTGGGCCGAGATCTCGGACGCCGTGCCAGGCGGGGCCTCCTACGACCTGAACTTCGTAAGCGTTCACACCGCTCACTTCGACCTGTCTCCGTGCTTCCTTGCCCGTGCGAACGGGTCCACGATCTTTGCCGCGCTGGAGGCTGCAGATCCGTCGCTCACGTTCGCGAGTCTCGTCGAGCTCACCCAGTACGTTCGTGCCGTCGTGTTGTACATCGGCAGTGATCTATGTGGCGCAGGACAGAAGGCCAAGTTCGAGTTCGTCCGGAGGGCCCAGATCCACAACGCCTGTGCCCAACGGAGTCGCGGAGTGTTAGGTATGATTATATTGGTGGATGGTCATTGCGCCGCGCATGTCATTCACCGCGAGGTGGAGCACGTGTTCCGCCTGAAGGAGCTGATCCCGTCCTTGTTCGCGGTAAGCTTCACGTGCGGGCTCCCGGGTGCGGCGGCAGAGATCAAGTCAGCCCTTGCTCGGATTGTCCGAGAGGACCTCAGCAATGGGGGGTTCGTCGTCGGCTTGAGCCCCCCCGCTGACGTTTTCGAGGCGGCGACCCCACTGCTCAAGCTCATCTTCTGCCGCGCAGTCGCCGCGATGGCAGACCGGGAGGACATCGAGGGGAAGAGGGTCGAGGCCTTGAAGAAATGCCGCGAGTTCCAGGTGTTGTTCAACGGCGATTTGCGACGTCCTCACCTTCAACATTTCTGCCAGGACCGACCTTTCTTAAATCTGCACTCCCCTGTTCCCCTCATCGTCGTCCGCCCCGTCCGGCGAAGCGATTCCGCGCGAGCCGCTAGGCTGCGCTATGTTATTGTAGGCTATGCTATGCTATGTATGTTGCTCTGTGCTATGCTGCAATGTCATGCTATGATATGCTGCGCTATGTTATGCAATGCTATGCTATGCTGCGCATGCTATGCTAGGCGATGCTATGATATGCTATGCTGCGCTATGCTATGCTATGCTATGCTATGCTTGGCTATGCTATGCTATGCAATGCTATGCTATGCTATGCTATGCTGCGCTATGCTATGCTATGCTATCCCCTCATCGTCGTCGCCCAGAGGACGAGGACGAGAGGGTAGGGGACGACGCCTCCTTTGGCAGCGCGGCCCCTTGAAACCTTAGTGGCCCTCCTTCACATCCCTACCCCTACCCCAGCCCCGTCTCCGTCGTCAATCCCCTCCCCCCCTCCCCATTCCTACACGGTTTTTCGTTTTGCTATCTCCCCCTCTTGCCTCGCCTCCTCCCCCTCGCCTCGCCCCGCCCCCCATCCTCACTTTTGTCAAGCTCTGAGGGGGGAACTTTCATGGAAACGCTGGGGGTGAACGAGCTGAGGGGGGAGGGCCATTGTGCAAGCGCCGAGGGGGGCACTTTTTATGCAAACCCTCCTCTTCGTCGACCTCATCGCCCTGCTCCTCCTCCCCCGTACTCCCCCGTACTCCCTTCTTTCTCCCCTCTTTCTCCCCCGCCGCCCAGGGCACATGCTGCGGGGGCCAGAAGCTCGACGTGTGCGTCCAGCGGATGACGGACACATTGCACGATGAGTTCTTCCAGCCGCTGGCCGTGTCGCTCCCGGCCCAAAACCGATGGTACACGTTCGGTCCGTCGTTGACGAAGACGTTGGGTACGTATAGCATCCACAAGCTCTTGCCGCGAGTTTTCAAACGGTGCTTCTCGCATGCAGCCCCGCCGGCGGAAGATGACGACAGTTACAGGGTGTACTGCCATAAGAGGAAGAAGCAGGCCGTCGAGTTCTTGGGCAGCAGCGACTGCGACCTCGCGCTTGCCGCGGCCTTCATCGCCACAGCCCCCGTCGATCACGCCCCGTCAGCGCGGGCTACCGCCGACCCCCCGCCCCGCCGATGGGGCCAGGATGAGGAGCGACGGAGGAGGGAGGGGGAGGGGGAGGGCGAGGGCGAGAAGGAGGAGCATGAATTGCTTTGGAATCGCCAAGAGGCCCGCGCGGGCACGGCCGATTATCTGAGCAACAGGTTGCAATCCCTGGATGCGAGCCCCGAGGCGGAGATAGGGGGCGGCCGGAGCAGTATGTCCGAGTTGGCTGATCTTGGACCGCGTGGCCTCATACGCAGCTGCTTGGAGCATTACTGGGAGTTTGTCAATCCGTGGGGGGCTAGGCCAGATCGGAAACGGCACGTCGAATCTCTTCATTGGATACTTGAGCCTGCCGGCCACTCCCCATCCGACATCGCAGAGGCTTTCAGGCGTGCCTGCACTGGAATGGCTGCGGCGGTGTGGTCGCGTCTGGAAGCCAGGCGCGACGATTCTGAAACGCCATCCCCCCCCCGCATTCCCGCCCCGCCCCGAGGTCATAGTAACAAGCGTCTGCCGTCGGCGGTCAGGGCGCAGGTGTAGGTAACACTCAGACCCCCCCCAGGTATTTCGAGTGGCCATGGCGTCTTCTAGGCCCTGTGGCAGAATCCGAGGAGTTTTTCTCGGCCAACTTCTGCTGCCTGGATGCGAACGTTAGCGAGCCGATCCGATGCCTGGTGTCTGAGCCAGATGAGTTGGAGCGTGAGGATATCGCCGGCTTGCTCCGGGAGCTGCGCCGAAACCACCTGAAGGCCTTCTCCTCTCCCTCCTTCTCTCCCTCCTCCTCTCCCTCCTCCTCCCCCACCCCCTCCTCCTCACTTCTCTTCATCGTCGCGCCTGTCTTTTCGCTGCTGCTGAAGCTGCTGACCACACTCCTCCCAATGATGCTCCTCATGCATGCTGCTACCCTCCTACATCTTCGTTCCCTTTCCAGTCGTCGACGTCGTTCTCGTCCTTCTGCTCATCCTGCTCGGCCCCCTCCCATGTCCTCCCGCCCCCGTGCCCGCTTTTCCCCCCAGCGCCGGAGGCCACGAACATGCACCTCGAGAGGCTCTTGTCGGAAATGAAGCAGGCGACCCGTTTGGGCAAGGACATGCCTTTTGCAGAACGGTTGGTGCACTCTTTCGACACAAGCAACCTCATGAAGCGCCACTTGGCACGGGGTAGGAAAGACAGTCGACGATTGCTGCCCAGCCGCGAAGACCTCCATGATATGCAGGTTCCAGTGGTGAAAGGCCTCGTCAGTAAGAAACGGCCCGCTGATGATGATGATGAGGGCGTCGACGCGTTCGGACTTGCTCCTGTGGGTGTGGATCCTGCGCTGCGTGACCTTCGACAGGGGAATGATTTCTTCGTTGATTGCGGAGATGGTGAATGGCCAGTGCGAGCCGACGTGGTATCTTCGTTTCTCGATTCGCACCCAGGTTTGCAGGCGTGGGATCAGAAGCGAGTGGCCGGCCTCCGGAACCAGGCGCGGACAGTTCGCCGCCGCGCCGTATGCTCTTACGTTGTTGACGACAAGCATGACATTACAGACGACACTGAGTATTTCCATCGATTCTCTTGCTCAGAAGCTCATCTTGGTCTATGTGCGACGGCAGACGCTGCCGTGTACAATGATGCGCTGAAGTTGGCTCGCAACTTGGAGAGGGCCCTGGACGACGAGTACGTGCATCGGTTCTTGGCGATTATCTGGCAGCCCGAGTGCTCTGATGATGGCCCGCCCGACGAGAAGGTGCTGTGCGTTTACTTGGCGCGCAAGAGGGAACGGCGCATGCATTGTCAGATTACCCATTGCTTCATCTGCTGCGCCCTTCATGATGTCCAGGATGGGGTCCACTTCATGAGTCTAGCTGAGAGGACTGCGAAAGAGTTTGATTTTCGCTCCGCCTGGGAGTTGGCAAAGGAAATGTTGTACGGCAATGTCGAGAGGGCCATGGTCTTCAAGATGACTCACGACCCTGGGGATCTACGAGTCAGCAGTGAGGTCAGGGCATCTCTTACTAATAACGACCCCGGCAGGGTGGTGCGGCCCGGGAAGTACACGAGGCCCCGGGCGCCGAGGAATGGCCTCCCAGACATCCCCGACGAGCCGCAGGACCCCCCGCCGCCGAAGCCGCGGCGGCCCAAGCCCATGAAGGTGCGACCATATAATAATAGCCAGTCCCCCTCCCCAATCATGCCGCTGCTGCTTCTGCTGCTTCTGCTCCTCCTCCTCTTCCTCGTATTGCACTCGTCGCCCAGTGCCAGGCCTCCTCATCCTGCTACTGCCGCTAGTGCTGCTGCTTGACGCATTGTGTCTTCCACCCTCCTCGCCCTCCTTCTCGCCCTCGTCGAATCTCGACGTCGCCGTCGTCCTCCTCGTGGTCGTCGTCGTCGTGGCCGTCGTCGTCGTCGTCGTCGTCGTCGTCGTCGTCGTCGTCGTCGTCGTCGACGTCGACGTCGACGTCGACGTCGTCGTCGTCGATGGAGTCTCGGCTGCGCCCAGATTCAGGTGATCAGGCCGAACGGGTGCATGCTCTTGCAGTGCGCGCCGCAGCCCGCCGCTGGGGTGGCAGGCGCCGCGCCAGGAGGAGGCGCGGCGGCGCCAGGAGGAGGCGCCGCGCCAGGAGGAGGCGCCGCGCCAGGAGGAGGCCCCGCGGGCGCTGGGGCAGGCGCCCCAGGAGCGGCAGGCGCCGCGCCAGGAGCTCCAGGATGGGGTAGCGACGACGACACTGAAGATTGGGCATCGTCGGATTCGGCGGATTCAGAGGACCCAGGGCGCCCCAGAGACGAGGGCGGCGATGATGATGACGGTGGCGCCGGCGTGGAGGGCGGCGGCGACGTCGAGGGGGGTGCCCCCCCAGGGCCCCCGCCACCCCCGCCGCCGCCAGCGGGCCCACCGCCGCCGCCACGTCAGATGAGGGGGTTCCGTTGGCCCGAGACATCCAGGTCGACCCCATGGACGGTGGCCCCAATCTATTCAGCTGGGGTCCAAACTGGGTGGGGCGCCACGTGCGGTCTCCACGAAAACACATCCGACACAGGGAAACTCAAGTGCAAGAAGCAGCTCGCAATGCCAACTGAAGAGGGCCGCAGGAGGGTATGCAAGTGGCTTCTTATTGGCCATGCGGCCAAGTACGATGTGGACAATGCCAGGACCGAGCATGTCTGTGAGAATTGCAGGGTGTTTGATTGCGAGGAGACGCAGGCGCAACTTGACGCAATGGGCCTTGCGATCTTTCCGTGATGATGCTCTTGCAGTGCGCGCCGCAGCCCGCCGCTGAGGCGGCAGGCGCCGCGCCAGGAGGAGGCGCGGCGCCAGGAGGAGGCGCCGCGCCAGGAGGAGGCCCCGCGGACGCTGGGGCAGGCGCCCCAGGAGCGGGCACGCTGCCTGGCGCCGCGGCAAAATGTAAAACAGCGTGCTGGCGAGGCGGGCGGGTTGAAGTTATTTGCGTGTCGGGAGTTGTCGGGGGGGGGGGGGGGGTCTGCCTCTCCGGGCGGGAGTTGTCCTGAGTTACCAGCAGGTCGGGAGTTGTCTGGAGTTGTATGCTTCGAGGGTCGACCTGCAGGTCGGATGTTGTCTAGGGGGCTTTCGACACTATGTATTGGAACGAACGTTTTTTTCCCTACCTAGGCTCTGCCTAGAGGGTTCTTACTCGGTTGGCTTAAAGAGGCCGGGCAGTATAAATCGCCCCGGGCGGTTCCCGCAGTATCCGCCCCGCGGTTCCCCCAGTTGCGCCCCTTCAGCTTAGCTTAGCTTATCTCATAAGCTTAGCTCAGCTTATCATAGCAGCATTAGCACAGCATAGCGCAGCATAGCATAGCATTTTTTAGGATAGCACAGCGCAGCATAGCATAGCATAGCCCAGCATATCATAGCATAGCATTGCGCAGCATAGTATATCATATCATCCCCTAGCATAGCATAGCGCAGCATAGCATAGCATAGCATAACATAGCGCAGCATAGCACAGCACAGCGCAACATAGCATAGCATAGCCTACCATAACATAGCGCAGCCTAGCGGCTCGCGCGGAATCTTTTCGCCGGACGGGGCGGGTGATCAAAGGGGCCGGGCCCCGCACAGGGGCTAAGTTCCTTGCGCCGCCGTAGTGCGTCGCGGGCGCGTTGGGGAGTCCTGTATTGTCCACAATAGAAAAGTCGACATGTAATTTCAAAAACTGATTTCAAACATTCTGTGGCTCTTTAAGGAGGCCGACGGCAGCCGGGTCACCCGCGAGCCCCCGTTCCTTAAGCTTCGGCAGAGGGGGGGTCAATGTTCAAAACGAAAGGCGTAGCTTAGCGTAGCTTAGCGTAGTATCTCATCTTAGCTTAGTTTAGCTTAGCTTAGCTTTGCTCAGATTAGCTTAACTTATGCTGCTTTCCCACAGGCTCCAACTCCTAGGTCCTAGGTAGGGTCGCACTGGGATAATTGTTTGGTCGAGGGGCTTGTATTCCATTAACACCTCGCATACCTTGTCCAGGCCCGTGGTCCTTGCTACGGTGATCATGTGTTTGAGATGCCGTTGCAACGTGTCACACCTGCTTTGCGTGATTAAGGTGGGTATGAGTGAATATGGTATGAGTGAGTACGATGACGATATGAGTGAGTGTTATTAGTGAGTATGACAATGTTGCCGTTGCATTCGAGTGATGGTATGATGGGCTTCGCAATTGCTTTGCATTTAGGCGCATTGTGCACTTTCTCCGCCTGTTACTGTATGTGTGTATGTGACATACTGTGACATACGCGATGTCCGTGCTGAGTGGCCCTGCCGTTGCTGGCGCGTTTTGCTCAGGGGGTTCTGAGGTCCTTGGGAGACGCTGCACACGCCCTTGCAGGTCCTCTTTCTCCCACCCCAGACAGCGCGCCCATGGCGCCGAAGAACCGCCGCCTCATCACGGCGAACGGGCTGACGGGCCAGCAGCCCTTGGCCATGCACAGGGGGAAGAAGACGAAGGGCGACGCGGAGCAGGCGGCGGCGGAGGCGCCG